TTATCGGTGTATCCGTGCACCCCTAATTTATAATCTTCTTTGACTGTTTTACCTATAATGTGATACATTTTTGGTTTTATTTTATGGTTTATATGAACAAAAACATTCTAGATCTGAACGTTTATCACCATTAATTGATAAAAAACAATTTTTTAATCACCAAATTCATAATAACGTTCAACCATGTCTGAAATGTATGGAAGTAAATCGCAACACAAAGTTGTGCTGAATTACTAGACTAGCTGCTGCAGACCTTCCTTCCTCCAGCCTTGCAGTGGTTTTGGTTCTGTTCAGATGTTGGTGTGCATCCTTCAGATCTAAACTTTGGTTACAGTAAAAAAAATGTCCTCCCCTGACAGATTCGAACGTCTCACTGTAAGAATTCATTGGCAGGTGTGCGTCCATTCTGAATGGGAGGAAAGTCTATTTTTAAATTTTGGAAATCATTTTAAAGGCACACAACTAAATCCATCACAACCACTAAAACTGCACTGGCAAAAAAAAAAGAAGTTACCAATTTTGTCAATTTAGTCTGTCAACTTCCAGGTGAGAGTTGCTGTGCAAAAACAACATTTATAATGATGCTGCTGAAGCTGCTGAAGCTGCTGAAGCTGCAGTTAGTCAATGAAAACCTGATGATGATGAAGATGATAAATAATTCCTGATGAACAGAAGACTGAGATCATGTTGAGAGCGATTGATTCTTGAGTGAGTCAGCTCCTCCGTTCTTGTGGATGACTTTTTCTTCGTCATCGCTGAGTCATCTCCTCATACAAACAGCTGATAGATTATTTTATTCAGTAATTGAATGAGGAGGTGTCAAAATGACACTGAGCACGTAAATAAGACTTTAAAGTTTATTGTTGTGAATATTGACCTTTTGTTTTTATCACCTGCTGCCAAAGGGTGAAATATGGGATGTTGCCTGTTCGCCTCAGTGTGTGTGTGAGTGTTTAGACTTGGTTTTTGGTACCATTTTTAGGACCTACCTTGACAGGACCAGTAATCTACATGGGGATCAAAGCCCAGTTCATGTTAGAATTCAAGTTTTAGCTCGGGTTAACGGTTGGGTTTAAGGGTCTCTTTAAGGCTGCAGACATGAATAGAAGTCAGTACAATGCCGTAAAACAGGCAGAATTACAAACTTGTGTGCATGGGTGAGTGTCTGCTAACAAAATTTCTCATGAACTGCTGGATGAATTTTAGTGAAACTCATTTTTTATACATCTTTTGTAATCAAAAGGATAGTTACCACAGCCAGTTGACCTTATCCAACACAAAATGGCTATAACATTGTCATTTTTGCAGCTATTCAGGCAAAATTGGGTTTGGTGGTAGCCAAGAGTCATTCTCAACATTTACTTTCATTGATTATGTATGCTAAACGATCAATTTTGTTTAGGACTCGTGACAAACTCCAACATCTGGTAACATTTCTTTTGTGTGTGTGACAAAGACAACTCGTTTTCTTCGTTTTTCGCGGACTCGCTCTATCGCGGTTTTTCAAAATAAGATTGGACATGACACACAAATGGCCGATTGATGCATGAGCCGCACGATCGGCATGGAATTTTTATTATAAATGAATTATTTAAAATTATTTAGCACCTGTGTTCAGCCCACAGCTGCAGAAAAAGCTTCCTCCTGCAGCGTGTCAGATCTCCGCTGTGCAGTGGAGAAGTGGGCGTGGCCAAGAGCAGCAGGTGGCAGAGAGATGAAATCATGACATGCTGTCCTCTTTTAGAGCGTTTTGAGTTTAGAAACATTGTTTAGAATATTGCAAGACTGTGGGAAAGGTTTAAAATGCCCTAATAACATATAAATACTAAAATAAACTACTACTTACTACTTGTACTAATATTCCTTCACAGTTTTTCACTTATCGCGGGACATCAGGGTACGGATCCCCTGTGATAAACAAGGAACTACTGTATATGACTTTTTTTCCTGTCCTGAGGTCATTTAAGAGAATAAACCGTGTAAAAGTGTGACCGTTGAACACACTAACCTAGAGCATTCACAAAAAAGGTGATGAACGAGGTAAAGCCTGAAAATATATGGAGAATTAGAGGACAAAGTCTATAAGTAAAGATGGATGGATGATGAGGGAGGAAGAGAAGTGATGGAGAGAAGCACGGAAAGAGAGAAACAAGGAGAAGTGTGAGTTTGGCTCAGTGAGAGCAGCTGTATAGAGGACACCGTGGGTGGAAGTGGTAGAGTCGTGGGTGAGCTCAGAGTTTAACTGCCAACCCTCCCTGGTCTCTCAAACTGTCCGTCACACACTTGCACGCACGCACACAGTCATTTTCCCGTACTCGCTCGCCCGTACCCACACACACACACACACACACACACTGTATGCAGTTCCATCTCGCCAACCTGGAAAACTTTCTGTCGTTTAGTGCGTGTCAGACACGAGAGGGATCTATCCTTGTAATGAGACGTGTGCTCTCCGTGTCACCCCGGGTGATACATTGTTGAAGACGAGTGTGTTATAACAACGGTTAAAGCCAACACCGGTGCATACGAAGGGTGCAGCTGTGAACTGTTTGACATTTTGGACACCTAGTGGCAGAAGATGAGGCGTGGGTGGAAGGGAGTGGGTGAGGCGGGGGTTGCGGTAGTGTATGTAGTCAATTGCAGGTTTCCTCTTCACGTTGAACCTTATACTATGATAAATAATGAGAGCAGCAGATCCAGAAATAGAGAACACCCCCCATCGCCTCCTCCTCCCCACTGGTCCCTGTGGTCCGCTCTCGTGAAGCTCCAGTCCAGCCGTGACTTTTCCAAGTGATCCCCTCCCTTCTGCCTCCTCCGTTATGGTTAGCATGCCGGCTAAATCTGTAGCCGTGCGTCTGTAATTAGGCTTGTGCTGGACTGGAGTGCTACACACTGGCAGCTGGCAAGCCTGAGCAGTGTAAACACACACACATACATATGCACACACACACACATTGAGAAGCATAACGCTTTATCTTGTGCAAACCATGTGAATAAAGTGTATGCAGGGACATGTTCTCAGAGTTCCTCAGCAGGGGTCAAAGAGCAATAGGAATTTTGGCCTTCGTCTGTTCCTTTGTCTCATCTTCATTACTCACTGATTGTGTGTGTTTTTGTTTCAACCTTTTCATTTGTCCTCTTCCCCTCAACCTTTCTTCCCTCTTATCCCTGTACTCCACCTCGAACCACCTGCTCGCTGTTGTACTCCCTCCACAAATCTGCTCTATCATCCCCACTTCTCCACTCCCACCTTTTCCTCTGCAATAAAACGCTCCTCATCCCAGAGCTGTAGAGTGTAGAGTGGGTAGGTTGACCTGTATGATAATATTCAAAACTAAAGAGCTTTTTAGCAACAATATATATTATTATAATAAAAGAAAAAAAGAAACATATGATGTTACTTCAGCCTCCCTAGTGAGGGGGCTCCAACACATGACAGAAAAAGGCAAGGGCTAGTAATGTACAAGTACAAGCACCTGCAGGTGTGAACAAGATGAAAAAGATCAAGATTACTTCTTGATCAGGAGCTTCCTGTAACCCTTGAACCTAACAGAGGAGCACATCTACCCAATTCCAAATTTTTATGTCTCTCTGCCATGTTGTTGCCTTTGTGTGTGTTGTATTCAGAGCACAATGATTGGGTGTACTTCTACAAATCCATAACTTTTAGAAACAACCCCATTTCAAGATGGCCACCATAGGCAACTGGCATCAAATGGCTATAACTTAGTCCATTCTTTTAATATACTGAGCTTTGAAATTTGTTGTAGTACTGGACTGGAGCACTGTAGGGACAGTCATCCCTAACACATAGACAGAGGGCTAACAGATGAGATCTTTGTTTCAAACTTTAGCCTGGAAGGCAGCAGGTGACATGCATTCCTGTTTTATGTATTCTATGTTTCTTGTTTGATATTGTCAGCTGAACTTGTTCTTTTCCAAAGCTCCTTATACACCCTCAAAGAGTTAATATTTTTTATTTCGGCTGCTTCCTTCATCGATGGTCACCACTAAGTTGCACGAAGATTTGACAATTATTATTATGCCGGATGCCCTTCCTGACACAACCACATACCACTGAGCTACCACAGCCCTCTGTGTGGAGCAGAGAGATGCCATCAAGGGCACCAGGGTGCAGGGTGGGGGTTAAGGGCCTTGCTCAAGGGCCCAGAGTGGGGCAAATGACGGTGGAGACAGGTGTGGGTGTTTCACCAATCCCGCCCACATTTTGATGTTGTCGGTACTGGGAGTTGAACCAGCGATCATCCGATCACAGACCCACCTTCTCTAACCTCTGCGCCACCACTCCCAAAATCAAGCCAACTTGAATGAGTTTACAGTAGTCCCTCATTGCTTGTGGGTGTTAGGTTCTGGACCCCACACCCCCATGAAATAAATGAAAATCCGCGAAGTAGCGACGTTATATTTATTTTAGTATGTATATA